TGGCCTTCATTACAATCTGTTTATTGACGGCACAAAAACTCATCACAAATTTAAGAATGTACTTTGTGGCAATAAAAAGGAGCCATATAAGTTATTTATGGTGTGAATATTTATGAAGCATTCACACTATTGTGATCCATTTTTCTTCCGTAAAATTTTCGGCATCCTCCTCGTTCCACAATTTTTGTGCTATTTCAACAAATCATAAATCAAAAACGTTCAGCTCGTTCAGGAGAAGTGCACTATGACTTTTGGTATCAGTGCAAGTTTAGCTTTTTGAAATATTTAACCTTTTCTAACTCTTTTTTTTTCTCATAGAAAATGAATTGAGCTCATTTTACATCCTTCAAATCTTTAGATGTGTTAACAACCTTTTACTGCTCCTTTCACATTTTGTTCTGGTTCAGCTTCTTTCAGCTTCCTTCTGTAAATTTAAACCTTTTTCAGCTATTTTCATCTAATTTCAGCTGTTTTGTGCTCCTTTCAGATTCTTTCTGTTAACTACATTTTTGTTCTTCTTCTAACTTCTTTCTGCTAATTTCAGCTTGTTATGCTCCTTTTAGCTTATATCTACTAATTTCAGCATTTTCAGCTAAATCCACATTTTTGGCACTCATTTCAACTTTTTTCAGTTAATTCAGCAAAATTGTGCTCTATCTACTTCCTTCTGGTAATTTAAGCTTCTTTCTGTATTTTTAACTACTGTTGTTATTTTGCAAATTTCTGCCTTATTTCAGATAATTTTCACTTTTTTGTGCTCAATTCTACTTCTTTCAACCTAATTAGGCACAATTGTGCACTCTCCACTTTCTTCTGGTATTTTAAGCTTCTTTCTGCCTTTTTAGCTAATTTTGAACTTTTTTTTTTGGGGGGGGGGGGGGGTGTCAAATTTCACCTTTTTTTAAGCTAATTTACTAATTTTTGTGCTAATTTCTGCTTATTTACTAATTCAGCAAACATGTTCTTTCTGCTTTCTTCTGCTAACTTAGGCTTGTTCTTCCATTCCAGCTACATTTCAGCATGTTTTAGCTAATTGTATCTGTTTTTCAGCAAGTTCTTCAGCAATAAGCATTCACACTGCATTTTTGCAGGAAATGCAATTCCTCCAGTTGTCATTGTTTTCAAGCTGACAAGATGTCCTGTAATTTTATACAGTTTGTTTTTGAATTTGTTGTCCCTGCAGGCGATTTTAGGAGTGAATTTGTAAAGTGAGCAACTTCACTCTGTTTATCTGCAAACCAAACTTAGTCTAGAACTTTTTTGTTCCTGAAATAATTACAACTTTTCTGGTTGCAGTGATATGGACAGCTTGTAATTTTTTATGTTTCAGGCAAAATTTCAAGTCAAGCAATAAACTGGTTGTGGTTATTAAAGCACATTATTGTCAATACAAACACAAGAGCCAGCTGGCCCTCATGTCACCCCCCCCCCCCCCCACACACACACACACACACCGCTGTTTTGTTTCCATAACGGTCATCTCCACAACAACTTTCCTTTATCAGAGGGTTTTTCCATCCATAACTGGACAAACAAGACTTCCATTGTTGACGACAATTACACACACACTCACACAACTTTTGCATCTAAAACATCCTTTTGATGACTAGAACTGCCACTTGGTTACAATGCGGCCATTTGTAATGTGGTCTGTGTGTAGTCATGTCCTTAAATAGAAAATAGCCAAAAGAAGAAAATCCTCTTTTCTTATTTTCCGTTGGTTTCTTTAGTTTTTTCCTGTCCTCTTGGTTCTACGTCTCTCTTGTTTAAACACACTTTACCACCCATATTAGGAGCACTGAGAAGGAATTCTAATTACATCCGAAAGTTGTGTTGCTGGATAAAATCCCAGCTTGAATTGTGTGAAATTCCTTCACGTTTGCCTTTAACACGGAAGAACAATTCAGCATTTAGCCGGAGTCAAAGACTTACAAAGGAGCGTTGAAGAGGAGGCCGTTAAAGACGAGAAGGGAGGAGAAGGACCAGAACAGAGAGGAACTATTATCCAATGAACCCATTCAGACCAAAGGATTAAATAAATCTACAAATTAAACATTTTATTACTTAGGATTTGAGAATATTCTGAAAAATTTCACTAAAATCATCTCTGAAAAGGAAAGCTACTTTCTATCTTTTAAATTTGTATAAAAAATAAAACACTTGAAAATGTAAATACTGTATTTGACTTTTGGAGGTAGCGCATGGTTTAGCATTAGCGCTTACATTAAACACAGATGTGTAAGTGGGTTTTGGCGACAGTTGCAACATATACTTTAATAATCAATAATCCATACATGGTCATTGAGTCATCCTAAAGTTGTAGATTTATCAAGGCGCGGAAAAATCTTTAGCGCAGATAAATCATAGATGGCTCTAAATCATTTCTTGGCTTTGTGATGGTTTTCAAACAGCTTCAGTTCAATGTTTGCACAGCTTGCTCTTTTAATTAATGATACGACAGTTGGCCTTTTGTGATGGATGTGACCGATGACTTAATTAGTTTAATGCCACACTCTTGTCATTTATATATAATATATGATGATGCAATATCAAGGTTCAAGGTTTTTTATTGTCATTCACATCACATGTGGTACATGAGGTGGAACAAAATTGTGTACTCGAGGTCCCAGTTACATCCAACAATAGCAAAAATATAAAAAGAAACAACTGTACACGTATAATAATGTAATACGTATAATATGGTATATTAAACAGCAGCTTGAACATGAGTCTGTTGTGAGCAGATGGGTATGAATACAGCAGCTTAAGGTAAGAAATAAGCAGCATGGATATTCAGCAGCACAAATAAGGTGTCAAATCTCCAATTAAAGTGGCATTACAGTGATTTTTCTGGTTATGGCTTTATGAGTCTAACAGCGTCAGGGTAGAAGCTGTTCCTCAGTCCGATGGTTCTACACTTAATGCTCTGCAACCTCCTGCTTGAGGGGAGTGGGGCTAAAAGTGTATAGTATATACAAGTGGTAACAGGGGGCATTGTGAGACTCAGCTTCATGCTGGCAAGAATTAAAAAAATCTCACAGAGACAAAGACACACTTAACACACACCAGTGCTCAAGCTTTCACACAAATCTACACAAGTTAACACTTTATTCAGTTCAGTTTGTTTCCTCCCACAGCCCAACTAACGTGCATGTTAGGCTGACTGGTAACTCTAGATTGTCTCTAGGTGTGAGTGGGAGAGTGAATGGTTGTTTGTCTCGTTTGTCTCTATGTGTCCCTGTGATGGACTGGAGACCTGTCCAGGGTGTCCCCCGCCTCTCGCACAGTGATAGCTGGACATTGGCACCAATGACCCCCCGCGACCTGAAAAGGAAAAAGCGGGTAAAGATAATGGATGGATGGACTTAAAAGGAAAAATGCACGTTCAGACAACCACTTTCACGTAACTGTCAATTGTCCTGTTTAACTGTCGTATAAATGTAATATCTTATTTAAAGTCACACATTCAACTCCTTCCATATTCTTTTACACAAAGTTTACCTCTGCGAAGAGGCTTTATTATCACTGCACATCAATCTAAAGCACATCTAATAAAATGATTGAATAAACTCAAGTCCTTAAGGCTTTTAGTGAGTTGGATCTTTAACACCATGAAGACATTTAGCAACCACTCTTACCCTTTAAGAACTTGCATATAGGAGGACCAGTGCTGAAGTCTCAATCAATATAAATGTTTTATATTATTGAGGTTAATAGAGTCCAAGTCCATTTATGAGCCACTGAAGCCAGCAATCCTCTTTCTTTAATAAAGTATTTGAATGTTTCCAGTGGGATCCATCATAGTATTATTTCATGGCTTTTAAAAGTAACAACCCTCAGATGTAGTTTCATTGAGCTTAAATGTACAATAGATTTTTATTTAAAAACATTTTTGATCCATTCATTTAATACTCTACTCCACCATAAATGTTCTACAGCTGAAAGGTGAGCTAATAAAGATTGATTATTTAGTTTATTCACTTAAAAAAATGAAAAGAACTATTTAATAAATTATTTATTTAGTTTAAGGATTTATTTGCAGGACATTTATTTTTCTTAAGTATATTCCATAGTATTTATAACTTCTTTTTTTATATATATATAGCTTACTCTAGAAATAGAAGCCTTTTAGGTTTTATGTAATTTGGGCTGCTCTTTTCCTAAAAGTGCTATAAACTTATATATTTATTCAACAGAATATTTATGTAAATTCTAATCAAAAACATAAAGAAAAAATGATGCGATGTATATTAATATAATGTAGTAAATTGACTCTTGTATGTTTTGACCCCTCAAAGCACATGAAAAATAATTTAACTTAATATTGTTTTAAGAAATGCTGTTTAAAAGAAACAGAAAAACCATTTTTGTGGTTTGTTGACAAATGTTTTGAAGCCTTGAGTTTGTCATTTTTGACATTGTTGTTTTCATTGAGGTTCAAGAGATGGTTCTGTATAGAAATTATTTTCTTTTTCTTTTAGGTTTTTGTAAAGTCAAATGTTTCCCCTCATACAACAATGACCGATCATTAAGACGATTAGTGCTTATGAACTAAACGTCACAGATTTAGCTAAAATACTAAACATTTAGCCATTTACTGACTGTATTTATATGTTTTAACTGTCTTTTGTTGCTGAACAGATATTAATACTTTTAGTGACTAAATGAGAAATGTCTTGTTTTATTTCAGTCACTAAGAAAAATCAAGCTCTGCTTGAGTCAAAGCAAGAAATAAGTGGGGAAAAGTATGATCCATGTGCAAAATCATAACTGTACTCTTAAGAATTTGTATAAAACAGCAATAATTAATGTCTCCTTAACTCCTTTCATTGGTTAATGACTTGATGATCATTTATTTAAAATAATTTGGGACATAAATATGTTTTAGAAGGATTAACGGGAAATTGTTGTTTTTTGAAAAGTAACAGGAAGTTGGGTTTTTGTTCATTAGTTTTCTCTGAAACTCAGTAAGTTGAAGTTCTCCCTCTTCAACCTCTCAGGTGGCGAAAGACGTGTCCATCCGTCTCCACGGTCAGCTGGAGAGCGTGGAGAATAAGAGGAGTCTTCTGGAGCAGGAGAACGAAGACATAAGAGTCCGACTCCAGGATCTGGAGGTCGCCAAACAAGTCCTGCAGCAAGAGGTTGACAAGGTAGGATCTAGGTGTGGAGCCAGGCCCACAGCCAGGCTGTCAGAGAGCTCAGGAGTGACGAATCTTAAGTACAAAACAACTGGACTTGTTTTTCTGTAGCTGAAGACGGTTTGCTTCCCATCCGAGGAGTTTCACAGTTCAGAATTAAAGCGTGGAGCTGCAAGTGTTTAACCTGCATGAGATGCTTTGTTGGTGTGAGCTGGATTCACATGTTGACTCATCTGACTCCCCTCCCTCCTGAGGGTTGGCAACGTCTTCGTCAGCCTGTTCCTTCATGAGAAGTGTTTTGGTCGCATGCATGAATGTGTGAATTAGTGTGAAACGTGGGCCAAATATTGTATATCTAGACATTCAGCCGGAGCATGGAAGTTGAGGCCAGAGCTTCAGCTACTTCAGCTAGATGCGGTGCAAGTTTTAAGTCCCGCCCCTTCCAGGTAGACAAACATAACATTGCCCTTGGTTAAAAAAAAGGAAACAATATTAATAAAAACTTGTTTTTTTTTATTGGGGTTGTCTTGTTGATTCATGTAGTTCCTATCTTGCTGCTGTATATTGAAATATTTATTTTTTAATTAGTTTTACTGTTAGTAGTTTCTCATGCCTAAAAGAAAAGTCATGTGACACCATGATGTGTAGCTCTTAAAGCCCTACATCACTAGCAGAGCATACTGTAGTGGAAAACATTCAACATGGCAGCTCCTGTAACACAGTCCTCCTGGTTAACAACAAGACAAATGGGACCCTTGATTTAGTAATAATATTTACAATCCATGAAGTAAAACTGACCAGGGATTAGCTTCAAGGTGGTTTTATAAGTTCTAGAAAATAATTTGTTCTCACTTGCTGTAAATGGCTTCCTCTCAAACCATCTGTTTTCTTGGTCCAACATATGAACATTGCTGTCCTCTGAAGAGTGTCCCTTGTCTTTGACATGTGGGTATAAGGCTTGTCCTGCAGAGTTGTCTCTCCTGAGCTGGTCCGTGTGTCTGGTTGGTTTAGTTTCTCCTAGACAGGAGTCTGAACATTCTTCACTCCACTGAGTCTGTGTTTGACTGTTTTATCCAGCTTCAGTCTGAAGGTCCTGTTAGGTTTCAAATTGAGAAAATGTGAGGATTCTTTATGTAGGTTTAGTTTTATTTGTCATATGCAGATCGACACATGGTCAACAATGCAATGAAATGTTCAGTACAAGTAGAACTGTCTCGACTTGCCAATAAGACAACAACAACAACACCAAAGCATGTGTAGTAAGACATATACTAAGATATATTCATACATTAAACGGGTTCTTCATATTTCTAGATGCAGATCAATGAAATGACAGTTTCTGACCATATGATCCTAAGGTCATTGATTTGACATCAGGTCAAGTTCACTACACATGCAACAAGAATACAAACACAAGGAGCCAAAAGTGAAGAAGAAATACATCAACAGCAGCATGGTCCTATTAGCAGAGTGGCTGTATTGGCAGTGAGGTTCTCTTAGCACCATGGTACTGTTGGCAGTGTGGTCTTGTTAGCAGCATGATGGTAATAATGACCGCGGCAACGGACAGTGACTGCTCTCCAGAACCGGGTCCGGCAGACACCGAACATCCAAAGTTTCCCCGTGGAACCGAACTGTTCCGTAGAGTTTGGTCTGTGCAGGCAGATGGAGGATCATGGAGACGGCCACCATGACAGGTCAATGCCTGAGCCCGAGGCTGGAAGAGAGCCAGGAACTGAACCATGATGGTACGATGGCAAGTCAGCGATACATTCATGGGGATATTAGAACTTAAGGTGTAAAAAAACCCCATAAAATTCCACCTTTGTCTCTTAAATATACGGTAAAGAAGATTTGCTTATAAAAGCATCACGTGGCTTAGAGTCCAGAGTAAAGATTCTGTTTGCGTTTTGATCCCACTAGAGATCTTCACTTAAACACACCGAGCTCAGACAGCTTGTACTTCTCCTGCCGCTGGCTGAGTTCTATGAACGCCGTGTTTACTGTGCTCATTTTGTCTCAGAGCCTCAGGAGATTCTGGCTCGTCTTCCATCTTGTGTTCATTTCTGCCTCTCGGCTATCACGCCGGGGAATTTTCTTTTTCGCTAAATCAAGCGCCGCCCGAAAAGTCACTGCAGCGTCAAGGAAGGATGAAAATTCACGTGAAGAAAAGCTAAAGTGAAAATAAATGAAAACCGATCAACGCTGCAGTCTGACGCAAATTGGGGAAAAGCAGAAATAAACTGATGTTGCATTCAGGTTCACTCACAGACTGGCTCTGTTGGTCTTCCAGTTTCATCTAATAGTAAAATGGAAAATAAAACCTTTCTTCCGTCCTGGCCTCTTTCTTTCTCCTGCTTCTACCCATTGATTCGCCTCTCCAGCGTCTGATAGGCTGATGCTTGTGGCCTTGGCCCCTGACGAGGCCCCTGATGTAGGTCAGAGCTGGATGGATGGTTGGATTGCTGGCAGGGCACTTGGGTTTGTCTGCTTTGTTCATCAGGCATTCCCAGTTACCAGCTGGATGCCTTGAAGGCAGCTAGGAGAGAGAGAGGCTCAGAGATTTATCACTCATCGTTTTTTCTTTACCCTTTCATTAATTGATGAGATGGAGACAAGTGGTGCTACATCCACAGGAACGTATCTGCAGCAGTGAACGCCTTTCTGTTTTATGAGGAGTTTTACGTTTAGTTTATATTTACAGCTTCTGCGGTTAGTGTTTAGAGATTTCTAAGTTTGTCTTAATGGACTGGAAAAACTGTTATTGACAGATTTGTAAATATTCATTATGTTTATGACTCTATACTGTGCATAGCGCATAAAGGGCTTTTCGTGTTCAAATGCTACTAACATTGATTCTCTGGATACTTCAGTGATAATGATTAATAATAAAATTCTTAACTTTATTTATTGAATGAACATTTAAACTGCTAATGGTTTTCTACTGTAGTATAATATAACCGTAAGCCCTTACTTGCGTAATAAATACATTTATTGTCCTTAATGCACCAACTAATCTAAAACTCTCAATAAATAACTTGATTCTTTAAAGTCTGTTCTAACTTTGAAGCTATTTTCCAGTTAATTTCCACTTAAGCAGAGCTTAGATATCTCATTAAGTGGAAGTTAATGTGCTGTTTACCAACCAGTCGCCCGCTGTGCAGAGGTTTACCGACTGTTTGCTCACAGTCTGACTAACAGGTTTGTTTTCATGAGCTGCTTTAGAATCGTTTGTGTGGATTTATGTAAACCCTTTTAAGAAACGAGTTCTTCACTTTGCTTATATGATTCAGAGATACACAGAGCTGTGTTTGTGCTCATTTGAGAATGAGGTTTTAGTGCCCAGTGCAGACAAAGACATAAGGAGGTAAACATATATGAAGAATAATCATTGTAATAAAAGGTGTTTAAGTGCATAAAAAGTAGGGATGCACAATATTGGATTTTTGACCGATATCCGATACGCCGATATGTTAAAATTTATTTGGCCGATAACCGATACCAATACCGATTACCCCCCCAGACCTGCTTACAGAGACTCCATAACTTTCTCTGCTGTGGAATTAAAATACTACATTATTCTTCATGGTCTTTGTCAGTTTGGCCTGCTACAAAATGCAGATGAGAAAAAAGGGGCTGAAAATGATGTAACACTTAAACTTGGATTATGTTTAATGTTAAGTTTATTCATGACATTTACTCTCTCTAACACAATGACAACGCTCGAACAGTGCAAATTTGTAAATTTTCACAAATCTAAACTCAACGGCGCATATATATATATATATATATATATGAACAGCACCTTTTATATCAGTGTTATTTTGATGTAATGGCTGATGTCTGATATGTAACTTTATCGCTAATATCGTCCGATACAGACACCATGCCGATAATATCGTGCATCCCTAATCAAAAGAGTGCAACATTGAAGCTCTTACGATTCACAGTTGTAATGGTTATTTGAGAGTTACTGACTGTGTGGCAGCAGCAGCAGCCCACAGTCTGCGCTGCTATCGATATTCATTAAGAAGCCAAGTTATGCAGTGGCTTTGCTGTGCTGCCGTAAGCTTTCACTGTTATACTGGAAACTAAAGAATGTGCAAAAAAAGTCTGCAAAGCTATTGGTCTTCATAATTTAGCTGCAGAAACAGACAGTTCCATTTAAAGAGCGCACACTCCCCTGCAGTGTAACTAAGTGTGATTCAGAACTGGACCCACAGCTGATCGATTTCTCCTCACTGTGTTCAGCATTCCTGCTGTGAAGTGTGGTAGATCACAAAGGAGGAGCATTGGAGGGAGCAAATATGCTTAGAGGATAGTTTTGTTCATTTTAAATCGCCTAGTGATGCCTCATATGTCGCAATACTTTTACATAAATGGAACTAAAACGTATCTGATATCCAAACTGACAAATCCTGATCTAATAAATAGGAGTTACTTTTAAAATAAAAATGCTTTGGGGAGTTTTTGATTACTCCAAATGTTACTTGTTTTTAAAAAAATCAGGATTCTTTGAAGAAATGCATATCGTCTGCCACCATTCATCCATGAGGTTTTGATTAAGCATATTTTATATTAAAAATAACACAGTTGTGGTCCTGTTGGTCACATTTTAATACGGTTATGGCTGTCTCGTATCTCGTCATCTCACACAATTGCTTGGACTGGGTGTTGCGAATAACTCTTGGCTATTACTACAAACTTTAGCTCAGTTTGTGTAAAATTGACAGGGTTTAAGTCATTTTTGTGTAGCTAGGGTTAGTTAGCTTGGCAGCCATCTTGAATTGGCTTGACTCCAAAAATTACTCTTTTTTTTTGGTCCTGATTAAAAAAAAAAATCCTATCCCACTTTCACAGCTAAACCCCTCGTTGTTCATCTCTCCTTAGCTTCCTTCATTTATTGTCACCTCCTCCCCCGCCTCCTCCTCCCACTGCTCCCACAGAGACATACAGGAATGCTGAGGCAGGGATTTTATTTTCTAAATGACAGTCCGGCTGCTCCTGTAGCC